GAAGAGCAACGAATAAAGAGAGAGGATGCCTTGCCTATGGACAGGCAATGAGGCAAAAAGACGTTGAGCAACGGGAAAGAAGCTAATAAGGTGTATATGTTGCCTGCATGCACATCTCAAAACCACTGTTGCATGATGCATGGGCATCGATCACCTTGGTCGATCTCTTCAGTATAGGAAATTGAGGTCTTTTAGTAACATTTGCAGGAAGAGCTAGCCTGTTCGTTTGGCTGTGGCTCGTCGTAAACGATCGTAAATTTTCAGCCGGAACATTATTTTTCTCTCACACAAACCAGCCAGCAGTACTTTTTCATGAACCAGCAACGATACGAATCAGCCAACCGAATAGGGAGGGAAGAGCTAGCCTGTTCGTTTGGCTGTGGCTCGTCGTAAACGGTCGTAAATTTCCAACCGGAATAGTATTTTTCTCTCACACAAACCAGCCAGCAGTACTTCTTCACGAACCAGCAACGATACGAATCAGCCAACCGAATAGGCTTAGTCTCTGTTGTAGTGTTGTAGGCCTTCTCAAGTAGCAGGAAGCCTTGCTGATTCGGAGGATCATCTACTCGGCTCACAGAGTTAGGAACATGGTTCACAACTTCCACGGAAACTGATTTATTATTACTTGTAGCAATCGTAACTACTTTATCTGTCACAGAAACAGAGGCAGAGGCTTGGGTTCCATACAGCTTCTACTTTTCTATTGTCTTCCTCTGCCGTGATCTACCCTCTCCTTCTCAAAATAAGTTATGTTTTAGTTTATCCTAAGTCATCATTTTAAGTTTAACCAAATTTATACAAAAAGTACTAATGTTTATAAGACCAAATAAGTATTGTTAGATTTATCATAAAATATATTTATATATTCTACCTATTCGGTATCATAAATATTGATATTTTTTCATATAAATCTGGTCAAACATGAAGTAATTTGACTTAGGACAAACCTAGAACATCACTTATTTTAGAACAGAGGAAATATAATACTCCCTCCGTTCCTAAATAACTATCCTTCTCGTTTCCCGAGAAATATCTTTGACTAATTTTATAAAAAATATTAATATTATGGTACATAATTAATATCGTTAGATAGATCGTTGAATCTATTTTTATAATAAATTTATTTGAAGATACAAATGTTGCACGTATTTTCTATAAATCTAGTCAAACTTACGACACGAAAAACAAAAACGACAATTATTGAGACGGAGGGAATATGTAAAAACACTACTTTTGATTGGACTGCAGTCTGTAGACACCAATGGTGATTCTCTAGTTTTCATATTATTGTCCATTCAGGAAAAAAAAAGTAGTTTCAGTCTCAGACTTGTTATTAGCAGGCTAAAAGGTTGGATATTTTCAGCAAGGTTTTAAAGACTGGCAAAAAAAAAAAGGTATTACATCGCTCGATAGTAGGATTTACTTATCTCTACCTCTGTTTAGTGAGGTTGTCAAATAGTATCTTTTCTTATATTTCTACTTTTATACTTTCAGATTCAATTGTTAGGATCTTTATTTTACTTGACAATTTATAGGACAATCAGAATCCATATGGAAATTGAAGTGCTATTTTTCATTACTTTTTTCTAAATTTTGGATATTCATTAATGATTTATATATTTTGCTTCCAAACTCGCATGGAAGTTAAACTATTAATTATTCTTAAATTTTTAGTTATTTATTAATTGTAGCTTACATGGACTATTTGGTCTCTAGGTTATTATATGATCATAATATAATCAGATTGTTGTCTTATTTATTCATTTTGTAATTCATCCCTTGATAGCGAATATGGTGGACCTTGTAAATGTTTTACTAATAAGATAATAAAATTGACTAGAATCGATTCCAAAAGGTCGTATGTGCGCTGTTAGTTATATTTTTGTTCTTTAGGAACATTAGTTAAATGACTGATCACTCCAAACCCCTTTACAAAAATAAATAAAAAATGTATGTCCAACTATGCATGGATTGAGCATTCCATTCAAACCAGAAATTCAGTCCCATAAAATGGCAATGAAGTTGTAATAATCCGCTAAACACTAGAGTGACTGCTCATATATATTTATCCTAGTGAACATAGTTTATTTAACTAGTCCATTAACTTGTGCTCCCGCATAGGCTACAACCTAAGAGAAATAAGTTTTAAGAGTTCATGAACAAATTTAATACTTACAACTAATCAGAATTGCTTACTATTGTGTACTCTCTCTTTGTTTAGTTTCTAACACAACACATATAAATATTTTGTAATCTCTATCCGATTGTAATAAACTTACCAATTATTCTATATGTTTTTTCATCCATATTTTATAGCTTTTTTCCGTTTACATCACACTACCATGTGTCTCTAGTATGTGTTTAGTTGATACCTTAGCTTAAGTTATGTCAGCTCTTTTTACAACACATGTGCTATTACATCATGGATCTAAATTTTGGTTTTCAAATATGAATCATATGGACCTAGAGGTGCTACCAAAGTACAAGTCCTTTCGTTGTCCCTCCTACATAGGGTAGTTGCAATGTGATGTCAGCTTGTTTGGTTGTGGTTCTATGGGGTGAAGCCAGGGTTTGGGGGGTTTCTTGACTGACAAAAGGTTGCGCTTGATACAATACCGTGGGACAGTCTTTCCCCACCATCCGAGTTTTTATTATACATTTTTATGCAAAACTCCTACTCTATTTTATTATAAATATGGATTATAGGTTTAGATTATACTCTTAATTACTACACTGGCACAAACTATAACTTTAGTCTACACAACTATGGCACTCAAGATGTTAAATTAATTTCTTTATCGAAGTTTATGTGCATCATAGTTTTTTAATAAAAATATATGTCTCGGTGCAGAAAATGGCCAACACATAAATATTTGTAATTTTGCCGTACGTCGTGATCGGACGTGGCCTAACACTCAATGACACAGGGTTTATACTGGTTCAGGCAACATGCCCTACGTCCAGTTTGAGTCGGTCGATGACTTTATTCCTGAGCTCAGGTGCTCGAAGTTTGCAGTGAGGTTACAAACGAGAAGGAGAAAGATGGGGGTACAAGAGGTCCGGTCGGACCCTGATCAGAGGGGCCGAGAGTGACAGGAGCTCCGCTATGTGCTATGTGTTCGGGCGTGTGCTTGAGGTTTGAACCTGGTGGTTCTATTGTTGTGTACAAGTGAACTTGATCGATCTGATGAATCTGAGTTTTGTTGGAGAGAGCGCGTCCCCTTTTATAGATGAAGGGGATAGCCTTACAAGTGAAAGGGAGAGAGTGCGTATGCTATGAAGTCTTGTTGCCCATGCCAGCGGGTACCAGATGATGGTAGGCGCCCACAATACTGTTTAGCGTCAGATGCACGTGGGCGGTTGTGTTGTCTTCTTGAGGTATGGCAGACGTCGGTGCTTGCCGCACTGTTTTACCATGTTCGCCCGATACGGTAAATTTCGGCGCTCACAATACTGTTGATGCCTCAGAGGCACGTGGGGGAGCCTTACCGTATTTGTCTGGTATGAGAGTTGATGGCGCCTATAACACTGTAGGGAAAATATCGGCGCTTACAACACTGCTTGGGTTCTATCATGACAGGGAGGTTGCAGGGTACTGTCCGGCAGGTGCACAGGGTACGGTCCCTGGTATTGTAGTTTGACTTGTGCGCCCTGCCTTACTTTTTCTGTCTGTTTCCTGGTCCTTACCGAGCGGGCGTCCCCGATCGGTTGGTCCCAATCGACTCTAATTGCGCCAGTTGGAGAAGAGCAGTGAGCAGAGGTTTGGCGCATCCCCGGTCAGAGACGTGGGTCGGAGTTGAAAACGGTGTTTGGCCAGGCCTTCTGGTCGGAGAGACTGTCTGGAGGCGGGCTGGATACCGAAGCGAGCGCTCCGGTCAGAAAGGTGGGCAGGAGTCGGAAGCAGGCGCTGTTCCTCCTCGGCCAGGCCTTCCGGTTGGTGATTGGATCGCCCTTCTGGCCTGTCGTTTAGGTACATGGGCCGACCCATGAGTTTGCGCGTTGTTTGCAACGTTGCCTGCTGGGCCGAGCCTTTGTTGGAAAGTCGGTCCGTGAGGGACCCCGGGTTTATGAACCCAACAATATGAAACTATCAATTAGATATGTGACAATGTTTCAGTTAAAATGCATGGTATAATTATGTAAGTAATAACTATATACTTTATTATTATGGAGTATTCTATAATTTAAAATAAACTTTTGTTATATGTATGTAATTCACTAAGGGAACTTTTTTATGTTTGCTAAACCACATAAAAATATAGTTATTGCTCATGCACGCATATATATATATATATATATATATATATATATATATATATATATATATATATATATATATATATATATATATATATATATATATATATATATATATATATATATATATATATATAGCCCGCATAGTGGTACACAACATGTATGTTAAATTTGAGTTTTTTTTATATATCGGTTAAAGTTGGTAATTTAGAAACATAAAAGCCATATTTTATGCTTATTTCATTTTTATCGTAATACATCCATATACACACACTTACATTAACTTGACACCTCAGTCAGTCCATAAGCACTCTAGCTCAAACCAGACTCAACCACAGCTGTGTTGACTTATAACAATCACTCATCATACCATGTCAAGGGGACTTATCGATCGTCCTTGTCATGACCTTGTCATCTCAACATGGGATGTGTTACAATTACCCATCCTCTTCTAGGTATTTGGATCTGCCATAGTCGTGGCATGCCCCTGGTCCACTATATGACAGGTTGATTATTCAAAATGCATTTATATATATAAAAAAATCTACACCTAACTATGTACTCATAAGCATTCTTTTCATACCGGAAGTGAAATCTCATAAACTTCAATGAAAAATTAGTCTGATAAACAATAGAGTGACAGTTCAGTGATCTAGTTAAGTCTGATCATGGTTTATAGGCATCATTCCGATCCTTACATTATGTATGCCTCTTCTCTTTTCAAGGGTACTTATCACGTCATGGGGAGTGTGGAGCAGCTCTTGGGAGGAAATGCAACGTCAATAACCTTGTTGCATTATCAGCTGATAGATCTGTGGAGAAGTCCTAGGGGGACAGTGCTCCGTATTGAGGCATTAGCACTTGTGGCGATTGCCCTCTCCTTCTTCCTTGCTATCTTTGGGTCTTGCCGCCGTTGGTCCAATCGCTGGATCATCCAAAAGGGCTTTCTGGCTGCACAAGTGTTATCTATATCTCTTGGGACTTACAGCATTGGCCTAATGCAGTCTTCATCGGTGAAGAGCGAGATGTATCCCATATGGGCTGTGTCCTTATTCGCCCTCATTGGCTGTGTCGACCCAGTCACAAGCTACAATGGCCTTGACTACAAGAGCCCACTCTCGAGGATGATATTTCAGCTTTGCCTCTACTGTGGATATGTCCTGCTGATGAGCGTCTCAAACATCTCCGGTGTTGTTGGTTTTCAAGAACCATCTGCTTTAGCAGGTGCAGCTGGTGGTAGTATACTTCGAGTCAATTTACCCCTTCCTGCTGACGGTTTGACACGCGTTGGTCTGCTTTTAGAAATACTAGATGATGGTGGAACTACAAGCATTGCGGACATATATCGGAGCTGCAGCTACATGGAGCTATAGGTTTACTGGTCACTGCCAGCGACATGGCAAATATTGAAGATGTGTGCGTTGGCTATTCTCTCTCTCATGTGCTGAGATGCCATTTCCTAGAGTTGGTTGACGACTACGCTACTGAAATGGGGCAAAAAAGGTATGATTTGGGAGTACAGCAGGCTGATCGGCTCATAGACTTTAAGAGGGTCTTGAAGGCGATTGAGGTTGAGTTGGCTTTCCTGTACGAGGTCTTCTTCACGAGCAATGAGTTTCTTCACTACTATGAAGCGAAAACCTCTGCCTTCTGGGCCTTTGCTTCATTCACTGGGATATGTTTTGTAGGCATAGCCACTGCCATTCCTGGGACAATGACCAGCCGCCACCGTATTGTTACCTCTGCCATTGGTCATGCTGGTGTTGCTGGCACTGTCATCGTCGTCGACACCACAACAGCTTATCTGATCATCACTCTTGTCATATTGGTATCCCTTGCTCTCCTGCAATTGGTGCAGTTGATGCAGTTCTGGGCATCAAATTGGGCGACAGTCACCGTTGCCTGCGAGTACTCCAGAAACAGGAAGAAGCAGAAATGGGAGCTTACAGGAGATGGGCCGAGTCCACATAGCCGCGAGCAAATCAGGTCAAACATTAAAAAGAGGCAAATCAGCTGGTGGATGAGATTGAAACTGTTTCTAGTTACCAGGATGAATTGGTCTGACAAGTACCTCTGGCAAGTTAAGCTCGGGCAGTACTCAGCAGTTGATGCAGCGAGCAGGTGGAGCATATAATACACCAGCTACAGCAAGAAATGGTTACTCATGCTAGTAAGTTGTTGTGAGTGTCTTTGCTGGATATGTGAACACTTGCCTGGGATGCATGGATTGCAGTACATTGGACAGGTGCTCCGGGAATTGTGGGTGTGTGACACCAGCGCAGGAGCCAACGTTAGGTTGCACGATGATGTGAAGGCATCCATTACTGATTTCCTGGGTCAGATCAAGGGCAGAAGGATAGGGAAGGATTGGTCATCCTTGTTTACTGACAATGGACTAGACGCATCCTACCTTCCCTATAACATTGCGCCTTCCTTGTGGAAACCTGCCAAGGAGTTCACGCGTCGTGTCATGATGTGGCACATTGCGACAAGCTACTGTGAACTAGCAGAGCGGCAGGATGGAAGCGCAGGAGGCGGCGGCGGCGGAGGAGGAGAGAACAGTGACAACAGAGAGAAGAATCGGCGTGTGGCCATCGCTCTGTCCAAGTATTGCGCCTACTTGGTGGTGTCGGCGCCAGAGTTGCCCCCCGGGACATGCAAGGAAACAAAGGAGGAGTTCAATTATGTTGCAGAATATTCAAGAGAAGCAATGCAAAGGAACAGGCGCAATAAACTGGAGGCGATGCATGTATCAGCAGGCGATGGAGTACCGAGTCAATACGACACCTTTCAGATGGGCGTGTACTTGGGGAAGCGGCTTCGCAACGAGACGCCAGCGCTGCCCCAGGGGAGGGAGAGCACACGGCGGCCCTGCTCCACCGACCCCTGGAAGGTGCTGGCGCTCCTATGGGTGCAGACGTTGCTCTACGCCACGCCGTATGGCGATGTGAAGAGCCACATGCAGCGTCTCTCGCAGGGCGGCGAGTTCATCACCCACCTCTGGGCTCTGCTCTACCACATCGGCATCGACAGCTGGGAAGTTGCTGCGGCAGAGATGAGTGAAGCACACCACGGCCAAGGAGAGACAAGGGGAGAAGAAATTGAAGAGATTCTCATTGACTAATTAATTAATTTGTTCCTTCTTGGTAGCTTTTCTACTTGTCTATTGCTTGTGCCTTCACCTCCTTTCATATTAATAGTTAATTCTTCACCCGTATGCGGTTCACTGTATATATCTATATATGTTGTATTCATAATATATGATCCAAATAGTAGTGTGCAACAGTGTTTTTTTGAGAGTGTAGATATTACATGTATCACTTCAGTTCTCAGTTCTCACAGTTGGCATCCAATGTTCAAAGGAGGAACCGACATAGCGGATGCAGATAAAGGATGCTTTGAGGGAACTGCACAGGATAAGAGAACAAATGTGCCAGGCATAGCATGAAAATGTATGCATATTCAGATGACAGTAGTTGAGTAACGTGCTTGAAGACACCCCAAAGTTAGTAATATGGGAAAAAGAGATGGTAATTATACTGCCATATATATAGGTTCTTATGATAATGTTGCAATCAATAGATTTTTAGCATCTTACGTTTTCCAGTTGGAGGGCTTGCTCAAGATTAGTAACTAGATTTTTAGCATAATTTTGTCCAGTACTCCAAAATCAGAAAATAACATATTTATCACAACTGTGTCATTGTTTGTAATTGAAGCATGGGTTTTTATTTCCAATGAAGCACTATCTTACATAATTCGAGTAAGAGTAAGCAATAGCACACTGGTCTTCTATCCTAGTTGGATCTTAAAGGAGCACTACCAAATGTCACCCACCTACAGCCGTGTGGTGGCTAGGTGCGTCAGTTGGGACACCCCAGAGGCCCAGACTCGTGGTGCTGCATTAGAAAAAGGTCACTCATTGTACAAACTGTTTGCAGCATCAGGCACAAGGTGCACCTCCTAGGCAGGCAGCATTCGAGCCAAGCTTTTCTTGGACCTGGAGTGGTTCAGATTCTAGTATCTAAAATCAAAGTCGTTGGGGGCAGTATTCCCTAGGGGTATGTTTTTTTCCCTTAATGTTGGCCATCTGGACTAATATAACATCTGTGGGTCAGCAAAAATGAAACCCTGACGAATTCTACAAGCAGTACAATGGTTTAACTCAAAAGGGCAAACAAGAACATCTATAAACTTTTAAATTCTACGAAGAACACTAGCCTCTTCACTCGATTCACAGAGAAGTAGCAGTTGCATAGCATTCGAATGATCCCAACCACATAATGAGCAATTTTTTAGTTGAGTTGAGGGCAGCACATACCCTTCGATGCCGGCAAGGTGGAAGAAGGCGAGGGCAAGATCAACCACCGAGCCCAGCATTCGTGCAAATGGTGGAGCGTGGGGGCGTGCGTTGTGCCTAGACATAGACCCTTCGCGGGGGCGACGGCGACCGCGGCGGTGGAGTCGGGGAGGACGAAGTGAGGGCTGGCCAAGTCGAGCTGGGCCACAATTCACATACGAAACAATTCTAATGTTGGGCCGGCTCACGACGTGTTCTTTGCCGGGGCAACACCAAGGCCTCCCACATTTCATAATCTATCTAATCAATCTAATTGTGCTAAAAAAACTAATCTAATCTAATCTAGGAGTATCTATCTATCTAAATCTAATCTATCTAATCTAAACTATAAAAGAGTGAAGGCTAAAATTATCTCTCACCGAACCTTAGATTTTATATGTAACTGATTGATTTTAGCCCTTTACACATAGAGAGACACCGATGCTTGTCAAATTAAAGAACCACACGCTTCAAGCCATTTTTTTCACTGTATCTCTTACCCACCCCGTGATGTGTTCCACCTCCAGCCAGTTTTCAATTCATGTTTCCAAACCTTATCACCGCATCGACGAAACCACCACATCCACATAGTTCTCTGGGACGATCCTGAGCCCAAAAGAAAGATTTGAGGACTGAAATTGCCATTTTGAAAATTTAGGATCAAACTAAACCTTAGACGATACTTGAGGCACCAAAATGAGTATTCTGCCACTAATATCACATAATGATCACCGCTCCCCTCACATGCTACATATGTTCAGCTAAGCTAATCACTCACGCGACTACCATCATCTCTAGCTAGGCCTACACAAAGACATTAGGTTCAAAGCTGAAGTTGCCCCGGCTTCTTCAGGTGTTGTAGTTTCTAGTTGCCCAATTCCCAGGTTTCCAAGTCCGGCTGCGTTATCAGTCCGCATGCAGTCATGACATTTATATGACAATAATGTACCAAAAATCACTAGTGTAATAAAAATCATAAAAATCACAAGAACAAGTTGCTAAAACAAAATCACAAGAGTAGGATTTTAAACTTGTCCATGCACACGAACCAAGGTTCAGACTAATAATAACAAGTTCAAGTAAAAGTGAACCAGCAAAATACCGCTACTAGTTCAGAACGCCGAAATAAAGAGCCATAGAGATATGGCATTTATATAAATGACAAATAATGTAACAAAAATCGCTAGAAAAAAACACAAGGGCAAGTTGCTGAAAAAAAAAATCACAAGAGTAGGATTTTAAACTTGTCCATGCACACGAACGAAGGTTCAGACTTCAGACTAACAAGTTCAAGTAAAAGTGGCCACCAAAATACTGCTACTAGTTCAGAACGCCGAAATAAAGAGCGATAAATCAACCTGGGTTTTGGTTGTTCCATCTCTGAAGAACCATAAATCAACCTGGTTTGTTTCATCTGCGAACATACTAGTCCTTTATTGTAAAGAAAGATCTCTACCTTGACCTGCTTAGCCAGCCTCGATGTGCCGTCTGCCTGCTGGTTGTTGCCATTGCCACGCTTCTTCCTGCTCTCACGCGACATCTCCACCATTTCCTCCATCTTCGGAGTGCCCTAGCCTTGCTCGTCGACTGCACGTCCATCCCCATCGCCGAGGCGCGCTGCTGCGCGTGCGAGCTCATGCCGGCCAGCAGGCGCGCGCGCCCCGTCTGCTCGTACTTCCTCCGGTCGCCCACGCTTAAGCTGAGGTCGCGCAGCTCCTCCTTGAGCGCCTCTAATGCAGGGTCGCCTGCCGCCCCCGGCGCCGACTGCTCCACGGCCTTCAGCTTGGACTCCAGGATCCACGCGGCGCCGGAGTGCTGCCCGCCGTCAGCGGCTGCGCGTGCTGCGGCGATGCCTTCGGTCGCCGCGAGGCGGACGCGCTCCCGCTCCACCTCCATGGACGGAGGAGGCATGTACGTCAGCTCCAGCGGCCTCTGGATCACCGCGGCGGGCGCGGCGACGTGGGCCTCGTTCCCCGTCGCGGCGTCCCGGTAGGTGCAGCTCACCTTGAGCAGGCGGGTGACCTCCTCCGTCGATCGGGCTCTCGGCACGTACAGTAGCACCATGAACCGCCTCTCCTCGTCGTCGTAGAGCTCGCCGACGTCGATGGAGGCGGCGCGGCCGTCGGCGCCGACACTGTTGCCGTAGCTTCCCGACTTGACCTCCTGGACGCGCACGCCCCGGTGCAGGCACGTGACGGCGATGCGCGCCTGCTGCACGGCGACCGAGAGGAGGCCGCCGATGCACTGCGCGAACGAGTCCTGGATCGCCGCGTGGCTCTCGACGAACGAGAAGGTGCCTCCCGTCGCCTCCGCGATGGTGTGCAAGGCGGCCGCGTCGTGCTTGGCGCCGAACCCGAACGTGTGGATCGGTCCGGGCCGGCTGGCGGAGTTCGCGAACGCCGGCGGCACGAGGTCCATGTACCTCTTGGCGCCATTGGGTAAATAGGTGCCGAGGAACGTGTCCTCCCCGTCGGAGAGAAGCGTTCTTCTGCCAGCGGCTGACGAGCACCTCGGCGCCCACGCGGAGGCCCTCGCCGATGTTGGTGCCCGCCCACTCGGGGACAAGGGACAGCACGGCGAGCTTCGCCGAGGCCTTCCCGGCGTCCGTCATGCGTGACAGACGGATCCAGCGGACCGCGTAGCCCGTGAAGGTCACCACGGAGAGGCGTTCGGCGCGGCCCAGTTGGTCGATGACGAAGCACATGGCCTGCTTCAGGAGCTCCAGCTTCTTGCCCTCCATGCTGCCGCTGACGTCGAGCACGGTGACGAGGTCGAGCGGCGCGCGCGCCACGTCGGCTGGCGCCCTGGCGTGCACCAGCACCGAGAACTTGTCCCGCGACGCGCTCCTCCCGAGCGCCGGGAACTCGCACTGCGTGGAGAGGACCAGAGCGCCGCCGCCGCCATTATTGGTCGCCTCGGCCTTCGGCGCCCGGGGGACCTGAAGGTCCAACGGCTCGTCGTCTGGGAACATGGAGCCGCCAGCCGGCGGTGGCGGCGTGTAGTGGGGAAACGCCGCCGCGGTCGACATCGCCCTCCAGCTTCCCCACCCCCTTTCTCCTCTTCCTCCTCTGGTGCTCATTTTCGCCGAGATTTTAAGGTCGTTGGAGTATAATAAGAGCATCTCAACGAGTCCTAAATCATTATTTGGAGGGTCATTTCATATAAAAATTGTTTTTTTATATCTTTTCATTCTCCAACAGCTTCTCTATATCTCATACGCACTTTAGAGAGCCATTCTCGTCTTCTATATTTGGCTAGCGAGAAATCCGGAATAGAATATGGCTATATTTTATGACAATTTAGAGCATCTCCAAGAATCTTTCTAAATCTCACTCTCTAAATTATCATTTGGAGAGTCATTTCCATAAAAATCGTTTTCTATATATTTTCACTCTCTAACAGTTTTTCTATATATCGTGCGCATTTTAGAGAGCCATTCACGTCTTCTATTTTTGGCTAGCGAAAAATCCGGAATAGAAGATGGCTATATTTGCATATCCATTTAGACAAACTGTTGGAGGGTAGTTTTTCACCAAAATCTCTATTCCTAGCATTTCGGAAGAATATAGAGAGTCTTTTGGAGTTGCTCTTAGAAAAGCTGTTGGAGAGTGTTTTTTTACTAAACTTTTTATTTCTAGCATTTAGAAAAGATACTGAGAGTGAGATGCTCTGATCAGGCAATTTGTTACGGCAGGCAGGCGAGGTCAGCTTCCTTTTATTCCCCGACAAATCGCCACCCATATCATATCCTTCCTTTTTTTTTTATCGTTAATCGTTAATTGATTGATGCGCAGATCCCCACTCGTCCATGTACCGCAAAAATAGGTGAGTCAGTTTTAATTGCATGCCCAGCACTCCCGATGGACGACCCCTGCAGAGGAACCCCATGACCGGGGGCTGCAAGATCCTCCCCGACGCCACGATCAGGAGCTGCACGTTATGTCTTGCTCACCGGCTACGATTATCTTTCCCCGTCCGGCGCGGGAAACGCCAACGACCACCTGGCGGCGGTGCGGATACTCGCTGTTGCCGGGACGAGCATGATGTGCACCGAGGAGAAGAGGATTACATACCAGGTCTTCTCCTTCGCTTCCGGCGGCGGAGGCGACGACGGCGCGGCAGGGGCGTGGGGCCAGTCAAGCGTTCTGTGGAGCTGAAGACGGGCTTCTGGGTACCCGTGTATGACCCCTGCAGAGTCGTCTCCGGCGACGCCGTGTACTGGCTTGGCGGGCCAACGGGTCTCGGATACCGCATCAGATGCACGTACGGTCTCCCTCAACGTGCGCACCGGCCGGGCATGGAGTCATGGACCACGGAGTTACCAGAGGGAACCCAGTTTTGGTACTACGCCGGCGCGATCGTCACCTCTACCCTCCTGGCGACGTCCGGTGACGGCCGCCTATCTCTGATACGGGCACTTAGCAGTAGTACAGGCCACCAGATAAGTTGTTAGCACATAGGATCGTCGTACGCATCAATCTTGCTGAGCACCCATTAGTGTTGCCGAACACTCATTAGCTAAGCCAATCATGAACAAGCGTTGTCCGACCACACACACTATGGCTAGAGGTTGAAGAAGAGGAAGAACAGAAAATACACACACAATAGAGACACCAACTTTGGCCGGAGCTCCGTATGGAAGATGGCAAATCTGAACTCTCTTTGTTGAGTTGCAGTGGCAAACTATATATACAACTCTATCTAATCCTAATACAGCTATCCTGCTGTAACAGTGATTAGATAACACAGCAGGACTGACTTCTGCGTCTGTCCCTGCATGTGGCTACAGTGCGGCAGGTGAGCCGTTTGGCGCCTGCCTCTGCAGCGGCTACAATACCACAGCAGACAGCCTTTTCGGCGTCGCATTTTTTTGATGTGTACACACGAGGAAACATTAGATTATCTAACAATTCTTCCCCTAATCCTACTGCTATCCCTTGTACCCCCTCCATACTGATCATTCCCTCCAGCTCCGTGAGTCGAAGACGTCCGATCGACTTGGTGAGGACGTCCGCGAATTGCCGACCAGTTTCGACGAACTCGATGATGATCTGCCCTTCATCGACACAGTCCCTGAGGAAGTGGAACTTCACGTCGATGTGCTTGCTCCGGCCGTGTAGAACCAGATTCTTCGCGAGGGCGATGGCGGGCTGGTTGTCCTCCATCAGTGCTGGTGGGTGAGCTTCCACGCCGGTCAGCTCGCCCAGCAGCCGGCGTAGCCACACAACTTGGCACGCCGTTGTGACCGCCGCTACGTACTCTGCCCCGCACGTAGATAGCGTCACCACCTTCTGTTTCAGCGACAGCCATGAAATTAGAGCCGATCCGAGAAAGACGAGCACTCTAGAGGTGCTCCGTCGTCCGTCGATGTCCCCCGCCATGTCTGCATCGCTGAACACAGTATGCCTACTCCCACCGGTCTTGGGAAAGATGATTCCATGATCTACCGTCCCCTTGACGTAGCGCAGTAGCTGCTTCACCGCAGCCCAGTGATCCTCTCTGGGATCCTCTATGAAGCGACTGACGTAGCCCATGGCGAACGTAATGTCCGGCCTCGTGTGGACTAGGTTGCGCAGACCGCTGACGATGCTCCGGTAGAGTGTTGCATCCACCTTCACCGCAGTGCTGGCCTTCATCAGCTTCAGCCGCTCCTCCATCGGAGTCACGCATGGCTTGTACTCAGCCATGCCGCTCCGCTCCAACAGATTCGAGGCATACGCGCTCTGACCGAGCGTGAGTTCCTCCTTCCCCTGTCTCACCTCGATGCCGAGGTAGTAGGAGAGTGTGCCGAGATCGCTCATTCAAAAACGAGCCGCCATCTCGCGCTTGAAGCTGTTGATGTCCTCCGTGCATGCGCCGGTGACGATCAAGTCGTCCACATACACGCCGACGACGAGCTCCTCCTTCCCCCGTTACCACGTGTAGAGCGCGTGCTCGGTTGCGCACCGCTGAAACCCAAGCTCGCCCAGCGTGGCGTCAAGCTTGACATTCCATGCTCGTGGGGCCTGCCACAGCCCGTAGAGCGCCTTGCGCAGTCGGAGCACCCTGTGCTCCTCTCCCTTGACGGTGAAATCTGGAGGTTGCCAGACGAAGACCGTCTCCGCCAGCTCACCGTTGAGGAAGGCTGATTTAACGTCCAAGTGATGGACGCGCCAGTCCTTTGCTGCTGCCAAAGGTAGTAGCAAACGGACAGACTCCATACGCGCTACTGGCTCAAAGACTTCCTCGAAGTCGATGCCCTCGCGCTGTACAAAGCCTCGGGCGACGAGGCGCGCCTTATGCTTGACAATGGCGCCGAGCTCGTCCCACTTGACCTTGTACACCCACTTCAGGCTGATCAGACGACATCCTGGAGATGAATCGACGAGCTGCCATGTCTCGTTTTTATTGGCAAGTTTCATGCCTCGAGGACAAGGATTTGCATAGGATAACTTTTCTTTTTTTATCATATAGCCAAAAGTATCATTCTTCTACATGCACACTATATTAGAAACTTTGCTTGTACAGCCCAATTAATGAAAAGCTTCCTACTTTTTAGAGCACTGTAAAATAAGGCATTTGGGTTTTTAGTTTCAGTCAAAGGCATTGTAAAACTCACAGAAACTCTACAACATGGATTTAATGACTAGGGTCAAACTCTCATTGGCTTGTAAGATATAAGATCCTAAACTTTGGTCAATTTGATCCAAAATTTGAAGTCCAGTTCAGGTTCAGAGTTTCATATACAGAGTTGCACTTGTGCTGAACCAGTGAACCGACCTTGCTCTCTGATCCCTTTCTCTCAACCGGTTTCTTGTGTAAGCAATCTAATCGGCTTAAAGCGAACTTTTTCTTGGTATGTAACTCTAAAACATTTACAACCTAAGTATAGCGCAGTGCAGTTTATCCTCAAGCAGATCTAAGTATCTAACAAGACATAATTGAAGATGACGAGAGCTCGATTGAGGGTCAGCCAGGTGCAACAATTCATCATCATCTTCTTCTTCCATCTGTATGAATTTTCTAATGTTCTCCTTCCTAGAGCCCATTATCTAAAAGTTGCAAATAGAAACAAGCTGAGATATTGGCAGCTAGCTGACATAACTAGCTACAACCTGCAACACAAACTGAACTGCAGAAGTCTCTAGCCTATAAGCTATCTAGCAGACCATACTGAATTGAACAAGAGTCAGAAAAGTTATAAAGAACTAAACCACCCACATGTTTGTACTTTTTGTATAGATTTGCCTTTTGAAATCCAAAGCTGCTGTATTCTAAATTACTTTGAGCAAATGCAGAATCTAACTAACAAGAAGCTGATACAGATAAGATGCCAAGAAAAACTATAAATATATATGACCTACAAGTGTTGCTGCAGCACACGACCCTGCAACTAGACTAATGAAAGTAGATAAGAAGCTTCAAATAACTGCTACAGGCCTACAACAGCTGTAAGTTTTTTTTTAATCTTGTCCTTCATACATTGTTGTAACCTGACGGTGCCATCTATAGGAAAAATCTGTTGGTTTCAATTATCACCATGATGCCGGCTGAATCCCAAGCATGACAACACAATGGTAGTAGCTTCAGATCAAACAAGGATTTAAACTAATAATATCTGTTGGAGGCAGCAATGTTTCTTATTTCCTTATGTTCAACTGAACAAGTTATCATATCATTCCTATAACTGTTTCATAGAATACAAAACAGTCTGCATTTTGCAAGCATATATACACATATTTATAAAAATAGTGTAAATGTAAACTTATACTGAAACTAATTGAGATTATCAGATACATGTCAATCATGTACAATGCTGCAGCGCAGTGCAGTTTATCCTCAAGCAGATCTAATAGTAAGAAACATAAAGGAAGAAGCAGCGGCACATAGTTCATCTATCCATGCATTTGATTTGAAGACTCAGCAAATCTAACAAGAAAAACAAATCTAACATGAAACCTAGAACAAGAGGATGGTGAATAGGCGTCCAACTTATGGCTTGGAGACCACGCACAGGGCAGCTAGGCGGGGACGTAGATGGTGTAGGCG